TAAGTGCTTGCCTGGCAAGCGCAAGGTCCTGAATTCAATCCCCGGTACCCCACACACTCACACACAAAAGAATGAAAACAGGAGGTTTATTTCAAAATTGCTGAAATTTCAAATGTTCTCATTACGAAAACTGATAAGCATTTGAAGCAATGGGAATATTAATTGGTTTTTAGTCATTTTCCACATTGGATACATAGATCATATCATGTTGTACTCCATAAGTGTGTACAATTTGTGGATTTATAAAAAATTTTAAAACACTTTTCAAAATTTGTGTCAGTGCTACTGTGTAGGATGTCCCTTTTTAAAGCTCAGGAGGAAATAGTTATGGATGGGCTTCTTGGGTGATTCTTGTTTGTTTTCTGATACTATACTTGACCCTAGCCAAATGGCCAAGAAACTACATTTCTTTATTTTCTGAGGCACTGTGTTGCTATGTAACCCAGGATGACCTCAGACTTTCCGAGTCTCCTGCCTCAGCCTCCCGAGTGCTGGGAGTACAGGCATGCCACTATGTAGTTTTTAAAGGGCTGAGAAGATGAAATTATTCCAAGAGTTGGGCAGGTGCTTGAGTGGCTACATCCCCATTTCACGATTCTAACCTGTCTGAACTCATCCTAGAGAAGCTAAGGAAGAAGTTGTAGTGGCAGTCCCTCCTCGTTTTGAGTACCTACGGCATCTACTCTTTCCTTTTTTTTTTTTTTTCCCAAATGTATTTAGTACAGGCTCTACAGGGTCTCACTACGCAAATTGGACTTCTAGTGATCCTCCTGTTTTCAGTCTCCCAAGCACTGGGATTATAGGCACATGCCACCACACCCAATCTTAGCTCACCCCTGGGGCAGGGCCCACACACCATGCCAGAGATCAAGCCCCGGTTCCTACGCCTTCCTAAGCAGGTGCTTTAGCTGAGCTATCTGGCCAGCCCGGCTTCTTCTCTTTTCTTCCCAGTGGAATCCAAATGAAATAACGCTTTCCAGGAAGCACAATGCTTTTCTTCATCCAACATACACTTCCAGTAGGGGGCAGCATGAAGATGAGTATTATTAAACAAATCCCTAGCCAGACATGGTGGAACATGCTTGTAATCCCAGTACTTGGGAGGCTGAGACAGGAGGATTGCTGTGAGTTGGAGGCCAGCCTGGGATACATAAATAAGTTCAAGAGGGGCTGGTGAGATGGCTCAGTGGTCTAAAGCACCTACTTAGAACAAGCTTAGCAAAGCACAGGGACCACGGTTCAATCCCCCAGCACCACATGCCAGCCAGCCCCACCCCCTGGTGGGCTGAGCTGGCCACACACACACACAAATAAATAAATAATTAAAAAAAAAAATAAATAAATAAATAAATTCAAGGGCAGGGACATAGCAAGACCTTGTCTCAAAAAAGCATAAAAGATCCTTAGCCCCTCTTGGTCTCTGAATAAAGAGGTTGTGTCCTCTGCTTAGGGGACAGGGAGCCTGACCACACTACAGCCTGTACCTTATTTCCAGTAGAGGTCTATGACTTCAGCAATAAAAACCAAGTGCACAAGAATAAGACTCACACACGGCATTAGTCCCTAAAGATGTGTGGCATTCACCAGGAGCCTAGCTCCTTGAAGGCAGGGGGTTTTGCACACAGTTCTGTCCCTAAGATTAGGTCAGTACCTGACACATGGTAGGGACGGGCTCAGCAGTGCACATCACTTTTTCATTCCCAGCAGGGTGGGGAACATCGCTGGCAATGGAACCAAGTTTTCATATGGAGCTACATCTCCAGGCGTTTTTGACTTTTTTCAGGTCTTGGTAAGTTGCTAAACTGCCCATGCTGGGCTCAAATTTGACAAACCTTCTGCTTTAGCCTCCCAAATTCTAGGATTGCAGGTGTGCTGCTGCGCACAGCTCCATGTTTTCTTCTCACTTCCCTTCGCCCCAAGCCACGGAGCACTCGCCCATTACCTGAATGACTTCCTGGCTCTAGTTCCCTCTTCCTCTGGTTTACCTTAAAACCAGTCACTGTCTTCTAATGACTCCAGCTGTCTGAATAGCCCAGAACTTTGGAGCTACACAAGAACTGGGATGGGAAATGGAACAGTCACTAGTCAGGAACAAATGTAAAACAGTAAAAATCTCTCTTAAATTTGGAACACCATAGATAGCTTGTAATAAAGCTCCACATCTGCAAAAGACATTCCACTAATGCTTTGCTCCGACAGTGGAATTCAAGGCTACCTAAATTTATTACCATTTGCTACCCAAGTCACTGAAACCAAGCATATGCTGCTATCTTGTATTTGATTTGTTCCAGATACACCTTTCCTGTGGTTGTCTCTCAAGCCTATTGGTTGTCCCAGCTCTGCTGACCTGTTATGTTGATCCCAATAGAATCAACATAAATTCTTTGGTTGTACACCAAAGAATCATGTTTCTTTGGGTTATTTCATTTTTTCTCAGGCATCCATCTCATAGTTCTCTGCATTGGTCAGAGTCTAGCATCATGCTGGATGTGGATAAGATGGTTAGTACTTAGCTGTGAAAGATCACTTGCTGAATCCATGGATGATTCCCACCCTTCCCCAAGGACTTTTTTTTTGTGGCCGGCTCAGCCCACCCTGGGAGCGGGGCTGGCACGGCATGTAGTGTGGGGGATGGAACAGTGGTCCCTGTATGCTTTAAGTCTATGCTTGCCTAAGCAGGTGCTTGAGACCACTGAACTATCACGCAGGACCCCAAAGCCTGTGGAACTTCTCAGGTGGACTGCGTCTGGCTACCTGGAAGTTGGAGAGTCACAAAGTTCTGCTTCTTGGCTCCGTAGTTCACTGCGAAGTATCCACGGCTTGTGACCTGCTTGCCAATCAAGCATGATTCCTAAACCAGCCTTCCCTTTCTGACCTCTCCTCAGCGTCACTCAGACCAAAACCTTCCAGCCCTCAGTTCCCGGCAGCCCATTCCTATGTCTTTGTCTGGCTAGGCCTGCTTTTCTGTCTGGAAAACCTGACATCAACACTCCCTGGCCAACCTGCTCTCAGAGACAGGCCTAGGACAGCCGGGTCTCGGAGCTTGAATTCTTCCAGTCCTATCAGATGCCGTCTCCCAGAAGGCTCCTCAAACCTCATTTCCTCGACCTTATAGCACCTAGGACACTGCCTTCTCTCACTGGACAGTCACATGGGCATTGCTCAGGACTGCTGGGTGACCTTGTACTGTACAGTGTTAATTAGGTTATAGGCTCTTGGGAGAACAGACACTATAGTTTAGGACACCGCATGTCCTGGGTCATGGCATGTGGCAGTTGTCAAGGTTTTCCTCAAATGCAGTGGTTTGGGCAACACCAGAGTGGAGCCCAAGCTAGGACCTCCTGAAATGAGCATCTCCATAAAGCACCAAGGCCTGGTACACAGCACTGTGCTGGACTGCTTCAGTCCCCCTGGATCTCACATGCTCCCAGATACGTTTACACTTCAGTACCCAGAGTGGATGCTCAAGGAAAACCTAGACTCTCCAGGGACTATTTTCACTTGACAGGGAAGGTATACACTTCTGGAAAATTGTGTCCCTCTTCCCCCAAATACCAGAGGAGCCCATTTAAAAAAACAAAAACAAAAAACTTAACATGATCTAGGGATATAAGACCTAGAAGACAACTGGATGTGATCATGTGAACTGGTGAGACCACTACCTCTGGTGAGATGTCAGAAATGAAGTGCTTCAGCTGGAAAGCTAAGGGAAGGCTGATGGATGTTTGCCTAGTTGGAAGTGCTTGTAGTTGCCTTTGTTCTGTGACAACCACTCTCACCTTTCCATGCACAGAAGAGCTTGGGCCTTTTACCACATATGGACTCTAGCCACCATCCCTGTGAGTAGAGGGAGCCCCAAGCTACAGAAAGGCTGGGCCAAGGGCTTAGCCCACCGAGGGCCTGTGGCTCCAGATCAGCAGGCCAGGAAGTGCTGTGACCAAGGGGCTGTGTACCCCCAGTGCATCCTTTGAGAAACACCTAGTCTTTCAGCCAAGATTTGGGCCTGCCATCTCAGGTGCCTTTCTCTGCCTGCGCTACCCAAAGTGGGCTGCTGTTTTTTTCTGAGTCAGGATCTCACTATGTAGTCCAGGGCTGGGCCCAAACTCAAACCTCTGCCTCAGCCTTCTGCGGGCTGGACTGCAAGTGTGCAGAGTCATACCCAGCCTAAAGTGGGTTCCCTGAGACGACCTGACAGCTTACACTGGGTACCACCTCCCTGCATTCATTTTCAGCATCCCCCCGGAGGCTTTCTGTGTGGGCTTGAAACCACTTACAAGGACCACTCACTGCTGTGTGGTCCTACACATTTTTGTTTTTGCTGGGAATTGACTCCAGTGTCGTGTGCATTGCTAGGTTCATGCTTTGCCACTGAACTACATTCCCAACTCTGTATATGCAAACTGTTTACACTTTCTTTGGCAGTAAGGGGGACTGAACCCAGTGCCTTGTCTATCTCCAGCCCTTTTTGTAATTTTTGTAACAGATTTTCACTAGGTTGCTCAATTGCCCAGCCTGGGCTTGAATTTATGATTATCCTGTCTCAGCTCCCAGAGGGCTGGGATTACACACCTGCATCATCATGCCAGGCTTATGTTACATTTTCTTATGGAACATTCCCACATTTCAATAAAACACTCAGGATAAGGAGGTCATGTCTTTGTGTCCTTCATGACAACTCCCACGAAGGGACCCCTCAACAAAGATCAGCTATGTGTGTGTAAGCTGAAGCGCATACAGCCCCTCTTCCAAGTGCAGGAATGGGGCTGAGGGGAAGGGGACTGGATCCCCTGATGGGGGTGGAGATGAGAGAGAGCCCAGAGGAAGCTGTTGGACAAGAGATGCAGGACTGAAACCCAATCCTGTGGGGGCCCTTAGTCACATGGCTGGAACCGAGGCTGCATGCGCTCTCCCTCCAGTGTCAGTGTGAGCCTGCATGAGACCTCAAAGAAAAACAGCACAACCTCTGAAGGAACAGATAGAAACTGGAGTCAGTTATCACCTAGAGTTAAAAAGAGCTCAGACAGGGCCCATGATTTGGCCCCAGAGTGAGGGTGGCTTTTATTTCCTCTCTCAGGGAAGGAAGAGGGGTGCTATCCCAGGCTCCCCAACCTAAGGGAGAGGTGAGTGACCCCAGAGACGATTGTTTAGAAGAGCATCCGGGTCCACTTGCTGGCACTTGATTGTGGGCTACAGGCAGGAGAGTGTTCCTGGGGTAGCAGCTCCGCATTAAAGAGGCACAAGGAGGTTTGTGCTGGTGTTCACAGGAACGAGCAGGTGCCCTGAGTGAGGGGCAGGGTGGCCAACCCCACATCCAACACCTGCCCAGGAGGCTGGCGCACCAAAGGCTGGCTGGTGTGGTCCTCCTGAGAAGGGCCACGAGCCCAGAAGTGCCCTCCATCCGATAGCTGGTCCCTTAAATGTCCATCTCAAACTGCGACTCTTCACCTAGGGAGAGGAAAGGCAAACAGCAGCAACAAATGAGGGTGCCGAGGCCCTGCTCTTTCATTCCCTTGCTCCTCCAAGAGCACAGGCCTGGCTTATGTGCCAGGGGAAGGAGAAGAAAGCAGACAGGCTGGGAATCCCTAGATGCCAGGGGTCAAACCTTCCATGTCTGTGCTCCTTTTCAACCCCAAGCCAAACAGCAGAGACTAGGATTCCTCCTAGGCCAGGGCAACAGTCCTGAGATTTCTATTTTTTATTTATTTTTTATTTTTTTATTTGTGTGTGTGTGTGTGTGTGTGGCCAGCTCAGCCCACCAGGGGGCAGGGCTGGCTGGCATGTGGTGCTGGGGGATTGAAGCGCAGTCCCTGTGCTTTGCTAAGCTTGTTCTAAGTAGGTGCTTTAGACCACTGAGCCATCTCACCAGTCCTCTATTTTTTATTTTTATTTAGAACAGGGTATACAGCCTCTCACTGCATAGACTGGACTCATAGTGATCCTCCTGTTTACAGCCTCCCAAGTGCTGGGCTTACAGGCATGCCACCATGCCCAGTCGGCGAGCCCAGGGGTGGGGCTGGCAGGGCAGGCCAGGAGATCCAACTCCGGGCCCCTGTGCCTGCCTAAGCAGGCACTTTAATCTGCTGAGCTTTTTGGCCAGCCCTTCTATTTTTTTATTTGTAATAAGGGTGATAGGTGGATATGGTGATGCTTTCCTATAATCCCAGAGCTCAAGAGGCTGAGATCGCTGTACTAGCCTAAACTACATGCATAGCAAGATCTTGTCTCAAAACCAAATGGAAGGGAACTGAAATGAACTGGATAAACAGCTACTTATGGCCTTATAAAAAAGTGACTACATCAAAAAAATCCCTTCAATATAAACCTTCTAGTTGGACATGGTGGTATACATTTGTAATCCTAGCACTATGGGAGGCTGAGGCAAGACATCACTAAGTTCAAGACCAGTCTGGGCAACTTTTATCTCAGAAAAATAAGTCAGGGGAGGAAGCCTAAGTATGTAACCTGCTTGAAGGTCCTAGGCTCAGTCCCTACCAATGTAATAAATAAAACTGCTCAGCATCTGTCCTGGTGTTTGGTTTGCAAAAACAATAACCTACTAAGTGTATGTCCAATTGATGGAATAGCCTGACCCTGCTGTAAAGAAAGCAGTTACCTAGATAATTCAGCCACTCCCTACCCTTACTCACCTAACATTTCCAAGTCATTTATGGTGTAGATTTTTTTAAAAAAATTATATACTGACTCACTAGTGGTCTTCTGAGCAGAACAGCCCCAAGATTCTACGTGGCCCCCAGATTCAGGAAATATGCAACAACAGTTACATTTACAGAAATATGTGATTCCAAAAACACTCATCTTCTGGTATCCAGTTAAACAAAATGAAAATTAAGTCTTGCCCCAGCCCTGTCTAAGCATAACACCATACAGACCTGCTGGGCCATGTTTTTGGGTCCACTGCTGTGCATGTCAGGTCCTATCAGGCCGAGCCTGCCCTTGCTATGGGTCAGAGCAGCTCTGTACACAGCATGCAAGCAGGACTGAGAGATGGTCTTTGGGAATGATGACTCAGCTGCAGGGTTGCCCAGATACATCCTCAACATCTTGCTTTGATTTGAGGCAGAAAGCAGAGAAGGAGCTGAGCATGATGGTGCAACCTATAATCCCAATAATCTGGAAGGCTGCGACAGAAAGATCTTAAAACTAGCCCAGCTAGGCATTTTATTGACTTAATGAGATACTGTCTCAAAAAATAAAGAGGGCTAGGGAAGGACCTCAGCGTGATGGCCCTGGTTCCCATCTCCAATAGTGCAAAAAAGAAAAGCAAAGCAAAGTGGAGGTGGGAGCACAGCTACACTACCTGATGTGTCTCCATTCTTAAACTGCTGGCTGTGACCACAAGGCCTTACAGTGCCTGTTACACTGCTCTTGCCACTCACCTCCCTCCTTGCTACTCCCTCTAGACTGAGACAAGCCCATTGTTGCCCTGCTTGGGTGCTGGAGTTCTCATGGTGCTGAGTCCTGTCCTTCAGGTTGGGAGGTGGCTCCTGCTGCTTCCTTTCAGGGTCTGGGAACTGCCTTCTATATGTGGCATCAGAGCTTTGTTCTCAGGCTCTTGGGAAGCTCTTGTGCCATGTCCCTGCAGCACGGAGCTCAGGGCTCTGGCCATTCAGGCTTGATGCACTAAGAGCGCATTGCTATGCATTGTGGCTCAGGTAGCTGCTGGTGACCAGAGAGGTATGGACACCAGGAAGGGCCTTGCTATCAAATGTCAAAGCTGGGGCTGGGGTGATAGCTCAGCAGTCTAAGTGCCTGCTTGGCAGGGGCAAAGACCTGAGTTCAATCCCCAATACTGCATGCTGGCTGTGGGGGGAGGGGGATGCTGCCCTGAAACTGGGAGTGGTGGCACATGCCTGTAATCCCAGCACTGGGGAGGCTAAGACCAAAGGATCACTATGAGTCTGAACTATGTAGTGAGACTGTATCCAATTAAAAAATCAAATGTCAAAGCTGCAGAGAAAACAGACCACACTGTTTCTGCCTACTTCACACAGGGTCCACCCAAGGAGCCAACACACCTCTGCTGGGAGTCTTCCGGATGTACTTCCTATCTTGTAGACATAGAACTCCCTAGAGGGCAAGAACACTGTGTCTTTGATGAGTTGTCTCCTGCACTACAAACATCACGGGCGTGTTCCAAGCACTGTGCATGTGTGATAATAATCTAGGGGCAATTAGCCAGTGGCACCATCACTTCACCTCTCTCCCTGTCTTTCTGTCTTTATCTCTCAATCTATCTACAGGATCTCACTATGTAAGCCAGACCGACCTTGAATTGCCCATGTAGCTCAGCCTGGCTTCCAACTCTATCCTCCTGCCTTAGCATCCTCAGTGTTGGGATTATACCCCGTTTACCATTTTAGATCGGCCTCCCACTAACTTACGTTACCTCATAGCACAAAATCACCATCCCTGTGGTTCATGGGTCTCTTGAGGAAGGAAAGCTGATAGCACTTAGGCTTCCACCCCCAACCCTACTCCTAACCTCTGGACTCTTAGGGTACAAGAATCACTGGCATCCCTCTCCCTGGAATTCCCTGGGCACAGGGCAGTCCCTTTTCCACTACTCACTGCCTGCTGGCTTGTCTTCTGGACTGCTGCGCAGGTGGCTGTGGCAGGCTTCTGAGGAGGACTCATCACTGGTAGGGCTGGTGACCCCAGGGATAGTGGGCAGGTCCCTTGGAGGCGTTTTGGCCACAGGGGAGTTCCGGCACTCCATCAGGAATTTCCGGTCATAGATGATCCTGGTCCCTGGAAGGGTACAGGAAGGTTAGTGTCGCTACCTTGAAGCCCGTGCTGGCAAGTGTCTCTGCCTCTTGGAAGAGAGGCTCCAGCAGAAGTCATGGTTCTTCTACAAAACCCCACTGAAGTTCACCTACGGATCTGTGACAGTGCAGGACTCTGCTGATACCCAGCCCCAGAGTACCTCAAGGAAGGGCCTTGTCAGTGCTGGCTGAGCTGGGGTGTGCTCAGAGCTCTGCATACCTGAGAGCTGTGTACCTATAGTCCCTTGCCATGCTCCCCTGGTAGAGCTCTGTGTCAGGACCCAGGACAACCATACCCCATGAGAAAAAGTGACTCCTACTCGATATGCAACACTGTCCTAGCAAGTATTCAGGGGCCACCAGAACATCTCTTCTCATCAACACTGAGCATTGAACCCAGGAGCCACTGAACTATATCACCAACCCTTTTTATTTTTTAAGACAAGTTCTTGCTAAGTTGACCAGACTAGTCTCAAATTCGTAATCTTTGCGTTCCAGCCTCCTGAATAGCTGGGATTACAGATATACACTCCTACACCTGTCTAAAACTAGTATTCTTTTTTGGGTGTGTGTGTGGGGGATAAGTACTGGAGAATGAAACCAGAGCCTTTGAACTGAGAACTGAGATACATCCTCAGATCCCAAGCCTTTTATTTTTTTATTTTGAAGCAGGGCCTTACCAAGTTGCTGAGTTGCCAGGGCTGGGTTTAAATTTTTTGTTTTCCTGCATCAGCCTCCAGAGTGGTTGGATTACAGGTATGTGCCACCAAGCTTGGCCAGAATAGGCATCTTTCACCCCATTGTGCAAATCAGTCAACAGGCCAGGCATGGTAGCCAGCTCTAGGTAGGCTGAGGCAGAAGAAACACCATGAGTTCAAGACCAGCCCAGGCTACACAGTGACTTCAGGCCCAGCCTGGACTACAGAGTGAGACCCTGTCTCAGAAAAACAGTAGCAAAGAGTAGACAAAAAAATCAAGTGACTCACTCAAATTAATAAAACTGAAACATTGAGCCAAGAGTGATAGCTCAGTGCAAAGGCCCTGGGGTTCAGTTTCCACGACAGAAAAGCAGCAGCCCTCACACTGAGCCCTGCTCTGTGGAGACCACTGCATAACATCACTTCAGAGAGGTCATAGCCTGTGCTCTCTTCCTGGCCTCTTCTTCTCCCACATGCAGCCCAACTCCAGAGCCAGGGATGCCTCAGATCATCTAGGTTTCTCACTGCCCTCGGACTGCACCCAGCAGCGGGGGCAATCAGAGGGTGGTACCCAGGCCAGGGCCTGCGGACACAGCTGTCAGCAGGGCAGAGAACATGGACCACATGGCCCTGCACAGAGTTAGTGGGCCTCAAGTACAGGGCCTGTGGCAGGCAACAAATACACCCTGCTCCAAGTTAAAGATGGCATCATACTTCCTTTTACAGCTGCCTGCTATTCATGCCAGTTTGGTTTTCTATACACAGTATGGTACCAAGTTTCCTTTGATGTATAGTAATTCTCAGATAAGACAGGTGTGGTAGCACATATCTGTAATCCACAGCAGGAGAGTTCCAAGTTTGTGCCCACCTTAGCCACTGTGTGACTTAATGAGACCTTGTCTGGAAGGAAAAACAAACAAAAAGGTGAGGATATAGCTCAGTGCAAGGTCCTGTGCAAAGTAATATTCAATTTAACACTGTAATATTTATGTAAGTTACGCCTATATAATACATAATATGATAAAATTAAAAGTAAAGATGATATAAAGAGAAATATTAAGATAGGCACAGTGGTACATGTCTCTTAATATCTCAGCTACTCAGAAGGCTGAGGCAAGATGGTTCAGGCCCAATCTGGGCAACTTAACCTATCTTAACAGAATAAAAATAAAAAGGTTGGGGATGCAGTTCTATGAGAAGTGTCAGTCTGCAGTAGTGAGGGGCGGGATGGGATGGGATTAAGGTTAGGTGAAAGTAGAATTCAAAGTATGGGAAAGGCTGGAGGTGTAGCTCAATCATACAGTACTTCCTGATTGGTACAAGGCCCTGATTTAGATATTCAGCATCACAAAACAAAAACTGACATTATCAGCGGGGCAACCTCCTAAGTTCAAGACCATCCTGAAATATGTTATATTATATTATATACTGTTATGTCTCATAACCAAGAAGAAAAGTCATAGATATTGTGCACATGAGCTAGGTATGGTGGTGCCTGCAGGTAATCCTAGCATTTCAGAGGCTGAGACAGGAGGGCTGCTCTGAGTCTGGGGCCAGCCTGGGCTACAGAGCCAATTCAAAGCTGTCTATAAAGTGAAACCCTTTCTTAAAAACACTTTTTTTTTTTTTTTTTGGTACCAGGAATTGAACTCAGGACCCTACACTTGCCAGGCAGGTGCAGTGCAACTAGACTATCACCAGCCCCTCTCAAAAAGAAAAAAAATAGGGGCCGATGAGATAGCTCAGTGAACTAAGCACCAGCTTTGGCAAGCGCAGGGACCAGGGACTGATCCCTAGCCCCGCATGCCACGCTGGCCCTGTATGCCATGCTGGCCCTGCCTCCAGGCACACTGAGCCGTGAACGAGTATGAGCATGGTGGTGCACTCCTATAATCCCAGTGCTGGGGAGGCTGAAAACAGGAGGATCACTATGAGTCAGAGCTGCATAGTGAAACCATGTGCCAGATACACAAACAATAAGAAATAGAAGAAAATAAATAATAATAAATGAAAGAAAAAATAAAAAGAAAAAAATGTCTGAAGGTACTTAACTGTCTGTGGGTGCAGGGCAGAGACTCTAGGCTCCATTTTTTGCTTCTGGTTATCACTGATCCAGAGAAACAGACACTCAAACTAATCCTGCACAGCCCAAAGGACGGAGATCAGTAAAACAGTGCACTGAGGATGCCTTACACTGGAGGGGACCCAGAGTCTTGCATTCATGCAGACTGCGTTCATAATGTCCCACCCTAAGCCTCAGACTCACTTGTGTCACTGGGCTTCAGTCCCTTTTAGATCCGGGCTTCAGTCCTGAACTATCTGTAAATAGCTGAGCCTATTGATTTTTATTGTTGTTTGGTTTGAGACAAGGTCTTACTATGTACTCTGTAGTGCAGCCTGACTTTAAACTCTGGGCAACCCTCTACCTCAGCCACAGGTGCTGGATTACAGGTGTGCACCACCATGCTCAGATTGACCCAGCTGTACTATTTATTATTATTAATTTATTTATTTTGCATTTTAGGGAAGGGTCTACAGGGTGTTCAGGGTCTCACTACTAGATCGGACTCATAGTGATCTGCCTGTTTACAGCCTCCCAAGAGCTGGGATTAAAGGTACACAGCACCACGACCAGTCTCAATTGCCGTCTCAGCACGCCCCTGGTGTGGGGCCAGCATGGCAGATCTGGGGATCGAATCCCCGGCCCCTGCACCTGCTTGCAGGCCCTTTAATCTGCTAGGCTAAATGGCCAGCCCTCTTGTATTTCTAAACAAGTCCTCAGAACCCCAACCTTCCTATCTGCTGACACTGTCAGCTCCAGGGAAGCGAGCGCATTCGCGTGTTCAGCTGCAGGAGGCCGTAAAAGCAGGATGTGCTCACCCTGCAGGTCATGGTGCGGATCAGGACAGCAGCCGATACAAGCCAGCTGTCCACACTGCTGGAGGTGGGCACATCACACATGTATTCAATCCCACTCACACAGGGAACCAGTCATAGAGCTGGGGCAAGAGAGAGAGCAGAAACTTCTGGAGATGAAGAGGATCACAAATTCAAGCCCAGCCTGGGCAACTTAGGAAGACCTTATCTCAAAATAAAAAAGGGACGGGGATATAGTTCAGTGCAAAAGGCCCTGGGTTCAATGGCCAGTATCAGAAAAATAAAAAGGAAAAGGGGGGGGGGGAAGGCCAAATGAGGTGGCACACTTGGCGGGCTGAGGCAGGAACCCTGCCACAAGTCTGAGGCCTGGGCTACACAGTGAGATCCTGTTTTAAAAAACCCAAACCCAAACCAAAATCCAGAACAAAACCCCCAGGCAACAGACTTAGGAGAGGGATACTAAGCCTGCTCTATCTAGGCTAAGCAAATCTAAGAACCATTGTAAACTTGAATGTGGGTGTGTTGTATGGCCAGTGTGTCCTTTGGGACTTCAAACTCAGATGTACATCAAATATAGGAGAGTATTTTTTCTCTGGGCACGCTTTGTACTGATGACAGGTTGCCTACAGCAACATGTACATTCCTTAGGGCAGGGGGCCTGGCTCTAGCTCAGTTCTTTAAGTGGCTGCTTCCACAAAGCTCTCAGCCTCAGCTTGTTCTAGTTCGATCCCCACAACCCTCCAGCCAGCCAAAAGTGCCCTGAAGGCATTCGAGGAGCAAAAAAAAAAAAAAAAAATCCTCATTCCATTCCTTAGGGCAGTGATGGCCAACCTATACACAGCAGCAGGCTGTCTGTAGCTCTGAAAGGTCTACCTTTGCTGCTGGTGGGTCTGGTTTTCTCACCGGTGAAACAAGAGTCTCGTACTAGAATCCTCCCTTGCTATTTTTAAAGCACCAGCCATGCTCTTTCTATTTTTACAGTTGTATTGGCAGGTGCTTAATGTGAAAACAACATGAGACTTGAGGCACAAGTTCTGAGCTCAGTCCAGCATCACCGCATTCCAGTCCCTCTACTCCAAGTCATATAGCTTTATCCTCCATTACAAAAGGAAGAATAAATTCTATGCTGAACATGGCGGCACAGATCTGTAACCCTGGTGCCTGAGAGGCTGAGGCAGGAAGATCTCTGCAAGTTCAAGGCCAGGCTAAACTACATAGTGAGTTTAAGCCCACCCTGAACTACACAGAGACCCTGTCTCAAACAAAAAGCCCACAATTTTAAAAAAGGGCCAGAGTTGTACCACAGCTCAGTGTGAAAGCCCTGAAAGAACTGAAGGAGAGATAAGAGGGAAGGGAGAGGAGTACACACTTCTAAGCAATATTGTAAAAAGTAAATAACAAATGTCAAGAC